TCAATTAGAGGCCGAAAGCATCAAAAGAGTAAGGGAAATGTTGTGTATCCTGGCAAGGTCGAAACCATCGAACGACACACCATCCGACATGGAACGGAGCCGTTAAAACGCTATCACGGTTTCAGGGGTTACATAATCGTTCACCTTGACAGCGATACCAGATTGAATCTCTATGGTACAAGGCCCGAGGTTGAACGTGCCGTGCACATATACGTTATTTCATAAATCCCGAGATAACATCCTCCAGAAGCGCTACGAAATCGTGAAATATGTATATTCGTGCGGGGAGTACATAACGAACGTTGTGTCCCGTTTCTTCCCCTCCTCGGGTCTGTCCCCATCCACCCCCACCTTCTGGAGAACATCGGCTGTTCGTTGTCAGTCGCGTGTGTAAAACGCCGTAAAAACGTAATAGATTCAGTTCCAAGGGCCCCCGTGAGTCGACGATCGCGATAAATTTCCCTCGGCGAGTGGCGCGAGCGCGCGATTAGATTTCGAATGAAGTTGGCGTACACGAGAGGTCGCCATACCAACGGAGGAGAGTACTTAACGTCGTGTCGGGACCGCGGGAGGTTTCGTAATCAGGCTGATTAATGTCTGGTTTAGAGAGATCGGGGAGTTCTGATGGTCGACGAGCCGAGGGTTACTGTGTTTAGGGGTGAGATTTGGTAGCCGGTGCCTTGGGAGAGGTGTTGGATATGTTAGGAAATTGGTTTGACCTCGGTGAAAGTGACAGGAGGATACTTTGGGGATGAATTTGGTAATTAGCTAGATCTGGGGTTTGGGAACACTGGGTCGTGTGATTGATATGATGGGAATTAATTAAGTAGGTGAGTAGAAGAAGGGCGTATGTTAGACATTTTTCGAAAGGGGTTTTCCGTGAAACAAGGGCCAGTGTGATGTAGAAGACGCTTTGGCAAAAGAAGAAAATTGGGCCTTGTAAATATTTGTGATTTGGTTAGGTTGAATTAGTCTGTATTTGGTCAAATTGACCATAATTTTTTATGTTTACCATTATTATTTACAATTCACCATAATTTACTATATGTACTATTATTAGCTAAATAATAAATAGAAGGTCCACTGTATTTTATTTTCTAAAAATTAATGTGATACGATTGTGGGATTCCTTGATTTTGCAAAGCTTCATTGCAGATCTATCCAATGTATATTGATATAATTTTTTTGCTTACGCAATCACGGTTGTGATGCTCAAATTGAACTTTCATTCCTCAACATTAATGTTTCAGTACTAGGAATATACTAATACACTGACGTGGAAACTCTGCTTCCGCTAGGGGAAAAAGTATCGTATGGAAAGAGCCTCCAACAATTTAGCTTCGGAAGTTACTGAAATTTATGCGAAATTAACATTCAGTTTAACGTTTGTCTCAGAACTTGAATTAAATTTCGCGGTATACGCGGCGCTTCACCCACGCCATTTTTTCCCCTAGCGGAAGGAGAATTTGCACGTCAGTGTACATGTATTTCTGTTTTTACATAAATCAAAGTCTTTAACGTATTAATAACATTTCTTGAACACATTTCTTTATACGTTACGGTTTTAATTAAGTAAAATAAACAAAGTAACAGTATTAGGGATATTGACAGTAATTGAAACACTCACCCAATCCATTGAAATAAAAATTCCTCGACCCAAAGCCGCGACAACCATACAGCAGCCTCCAAATGACTGAAACTTAACTACCCTCGGTCACCGAACGAAAAAGAAAAGTAACCGTAAGTAAAGGACGCAGTCCACAAGAAAGACGCCGCCGTCTCTCGAATAAGTGTGTCGCGGGCCGCTAACGACGTCGTTTGGAATTTCCCACGTGCCCGCTGGAATTACGACGGTTTCCAACGGATTGAAGCTGAATTATCATCGGCTCCCTTCATTCGCCTGTTCGTTCTCTCCCTTCAGGCCCGCGAACCACGACTGTGACCGTTTACGATCGCGGCGTCAATTAACGTAATTAAGAATATTCTGAGTCACCGTGGCTAATATTCGTGTTTCACCGATCCCCCGCCGCAGCGCGCCGTTTAAACAGTGGTTAGGTAACGCAGGAAGGTAGTGGAACTTTATTTCCCCTCCTCCCCGCCTAGCGGCGCTCGCCGCATTTCTTCCGTCGAACGTCGTAAATCCTGCCTCGCCGACTAATAACGCGCTTTTCCATGCCCTTTCGAGCGTGTTTCACCCGTGAACAGCTGGCGAACACACGCGCCTTGGAAGTTTATAATGGCCTCGATAAATTACGAATTGCTTCGTGAAACAGAGCTGCCAGAGAATGCTAGAAAGTTTCACATTTTTTTTCCGACGCACGAGACTTTACGGGATTGTCCGATAATAGTGGTGGGTAGAAAACAATTAATGAAACGCTGCACAAGTAGCAAAGAATGAACGAGTGAAAGGTTAGATGTATTTGCAGTGAACTTTAACTCACGTTGATGTCGGCGGTATTTTGGAATCGGGGATCATTCTCACCTCGGAAATGAAAGTGGACAGAGAGAAGTTCTTCCTGAATTCCGTGACGGGAAAAAGGATCACACCTGCATGGAAGTGGTACGATCCTCGTAATCGTCGTAGAAAGTCAAGTTGGAAAAGGCTCCGGCTGTGGTGATCCTTTGATCTTTGCTCACGCTTAGAAAGAATATTGCTCGTCGCGTTATATAGGGAGGACGGGGATTAATTATCGCCCGTAGACACCGTCACGACTGGTCTCCCCGTTATTAGTGTGAGTTTTTTTTTTTATTACACCGTTATTAGCATTCGAAAATTTTAAGCCGCGGTTACAACACGCGGGCGAATTTACATCGACGCGCGTCGTAAACCAGCGTTAATAAAATTCGATTTTCGAGCCACGCGACTAGGCTCGCGTCAGGAGAATGGAAAAATGATCGAAAAAGAATCTTCAGGTAGAAAATTATTAGTCGAACTCGTCACTAGGAAGTTCATACAGGATTTCTAATGTCCTGCAGGCAGAAGTTAAAGTCTTCGATCATACGAAGTTAATCGATTAAACGCTTCCTGTATACACGTGGGCAATTATATAATCGGCACGATCACGTAATATCGTAACCTAAAGTCGATCCTTCCTGATTATACTTCATTGAAATCGGGAGACTTTCATGGGGTATCTCCCTCCTAGACGTCTTCCTACTGTCACCTGTCGACAAAAGGCTCCATCGGGGCAGTTATTCACGGAACGCTGCCCTATTATTAGTCCACCTTCGGCTTCAATCAACCTGTGGTTGCCCCATGGGATCCAACCCTCGTCAAAATGTTCTACCAAAGAATCGCGAGTCGGCACTGTGAATCGCCACCCTCAAATGCCCGTATTCAACCACTCCCAGCCCCTTGTTCCCTGGTGTCCTTGAACTCGACCACTACAACCCCTTTTGAGAGAGAAAAAAAACACATCGGGGGGAGGGAAGTACTTTATGGTCAGCGATAGAAAATTTTCGTAATCCTAGTAGATGAGAATTTTCGTGTGAATATAATACCTGAAGAACGATTCGAGTAATTTTATTAGCTTGAACGAACGTTCCTCGCGTTCTCTCAACGGTGTAAGAGGTTCAGAAAAACATAAGATTGACAAAAAGACGAATGCCCGTAATCGTGTCAATAGTTTCTTTCAATGTTCTTTTATGATACCTTGTTATAAACGCTCGAGTTGCTGTGGTCACGCACTCGCGAATGTTTGACGTTAAATGGATAAAAAGAAGGAGATATGAAGTAACATTGAATGGCCATTTTCTTTAAACTCTTGTTAGTTAAGTTTTTCGCCTGTGGTAATTAGACGTTTTCGTATAAATATCTTGTTATACGTTAAATTGTATTTTTTAGTGTATTATCTAGACTTTCGTTTAAAATAGCTGACATTAACCCCCATTCGGAGACACATATTCATATATTTAAAGGTGTTTCATCGAACTGGATTGAGTTTTGTATCACTCTAGGCAGCGAATATTATATTACAAGGAAGTGTCACGAGTCGAAAACATCGTTTTTCAGGAGAACGAATGGAAACTGATTTCATTACGTAGCATTCTATATAGTACATTTAGTGGAACCTTGCTTGAAGTATTGGAATTCAATTTATGACATTTTTCTTGATAACAGATCTACGTACTGAGTGATATTTCACGCGATAAATTGTCCCTTCCTGCATAACACAATTGTCGTATTAGTAAAAATAAATCTGAAAGAGGCTGAAGCTGTTTCTCATTTCCCCTAATTGCTGTTTTGGCCTTCAAGACACGTTTTTGTCCGACAAATTTTATTACCACGCTATATAGGGGAAAATTGCCGAAGTTGGACCACTACTCCAACTTGCCATGTGAAAGCAATTTGTGCCATATGATAGACAACACGTACATGATAATGGTAATCGCATTAACTAACTTAGTATACAAGATGTTTCATTTAAGTGCGACCCAAGCAAAAAATATTTTATACATAATTTGAATGGTATTAATTGGTCAATATCCTTTAGGCATTTTTTTCTGTCGACGTTTTCAAGGTCGTCGATGTTTTCTTCAAATAACTACATATTTTTCCTATTGCATCGTATACCTCATAAATAAATACATTCAGATATGTCCTACGATATTTCTTCCAAATAACCTAGAACCCCGAAAATAAAAATATCGATGACCTTGAAAACTTCAAGAAAAAACAGCGCCTGCAGTATACTAATCGCTTAACACCATTCAATTTAGGTATAAAATATGTTTTCCGTTTTCACAATAAAAAAAATTATTCAGGAAGACACACTTAAATGAGACACTTTGTATATATCAACACATATTGTATACCACACAGCGCAAATTGCTAATACACAAGTTACTCGAAATTTGGCAACTTTCCCCTATACACGGATTCTACCTAAGCTATAAACGAAGTTTCCACAGATGTTGCCTAGAACGGGGGCTAGCTACGTACCCCCGACTAGTACACAGCACCATACCTACTCTATTCAGTCCGTTCTCGTACGCCGTAGGTGCAGGAGGGCCCAGTGTCTCCGGCGTCCTCCTCCCTGAGCAACCAGAATCAAAACGAGAGCGAGCAACAGGTGTTGCTCGCGACGATGCAGCCGGTGAACGTGCTGGACCTGCACGAGCCAGCCACCGTGCACTCGCTTCATCCAAAGTATCATCACCATCATCGACACCATCACCACCATCATCACCATCATCACCAACAGCAGCACATCCACGGGGATCCAGACGACGTTCAGCAACGACCTGGCGACGAGGCTGACGGACGTGTGACGCCGGGCACGGATTCGGGGTCTGGTAATCCGTCGCTCGGCGTCGGCGAGCACAAGATGATCGATCTGATCTACAACGACGGCCAGAAAACTGTCATGTACACCCACGACAAGGAGATCATATACGAAAACGAGGCGGACCGTGTACAGGTGGTCGAGTATCCACCACCGCCACCATCCCCACCGTCACCTTCGCCACCGTCGACCGTCACCAGAACTGGACTTTTGCCACCCGCTTGCGTCACACCTAGATCTGGATCGGCCACCGCCGCCCTCCATTTGCACCATTATCCCCAGCTGCAGCTACAACACGAGGACGATCTTCCGCCTGGTGTCCGTCACGCAGTAACCGCCACCGTGCCCAATTGCGCTGCCGCCACCACCACCACCACAGTTTTGGTGCTCTCGGAACTGGTTGCCGCTGATCCAGCCGCTGGCGCCGCGGCTGCGCAACAACTCACCCTCACCGCCGCTGCTGCTGCCTCCCTTCGGGCTGGGTAAGTGCAGATTTTTTTGTAGTACGGAGGAGGGTCATTTTTTATTGGGTCTTTCGTTTATTTATGCAGGGTGATTTGTTTATCTTGGATTTCTTAATATCTTCGTTCCTTTTATCGATACAGATAATTGTGCCTCGATGAAGGTATTTCGTTCAAAGTGAGGAATATTGTGATTTATGAGCTTTTTCTCTCGAGATCATTTTTTTTTTCGATTTTACAAGGTCGTGGATATTTTTTGGTGCATTAATATCTGGTATTTGTAATGCGATATTATAGTGCACGTTAAGGCAAATTCAACGATCTGTAACATTATGACCTTCAAATGAGCTTGAATGGTAAAAAGTATAGTTAGTGTAACACTAGAAATCTATTTATATCGGATTGATAAACATGAGAAATTTTTGGAATTTTTCAAATTTTCAAATTAACTAATTAGTTCATTTTCATTTTTTTACCATAGTATTTTTTCAAATCTTTCAAAGTTATGAATGATCTGAGAAAATTTATCGTGGTTTGTAAATGTTAGAAATGACCATTAAAATACAAAGTGTGGGAATCGTGTTGAAAGCAGTGACTTTAGAAATGTCTGAACTGAATTATCGAATGGGATCAAAGTTCAAAAATTCAAACGATTCCCACAGTTTGTAATTAATGTAACATGTGTTTATCAAGGCATAAATAGATACAACGCATTTATGAACAAAGTAATCATTAAGCTTTCATGAGATTCAGGATATTTTCTACCTTATTTAATGATGATTTATCTACGAAATATTTTTAGTATACGCGAAGGCTGAAAGCAAAAAGTAATTCTTCAGCGCAAAAATACTGAAATAGAGGAAATAGCGTTAACAATGTGATTTTATCTATACATATGAAAAATTCCCTATTGAGTTAGTGTTTACGGTGCTCGGCGCCTGATAACGAATATCCTGTACAATTCAATGACACTGCGACCACGCGTCACCACCGCTTAAGACTCCGAGGACATTCACGATTTTACGAGTATCGGGAGATATATGCTCGATGCACAGTGGGTCCGTCAACACCGCTCGGTATGATCCACGGCATAAACGAAAAGCCATACACGTGAAATTCCAACGACAAGGAACCTGTTCGGGTCGAAACGCGGTGTTTAACGATCAAAAAGGTGATAATTTGATATTTTTCATGGGTTAAACGACAGGCGTAAAACGAAAACGGCGTGTGCAAATAAATAGAAGGAAAAATCGAGGCGAATGGAATATTAATTTTGAAATTCGTCGATCACATATTCGTTTTCTTTTTCAAGCAACGCTTACCTATATCAGGGCAAACAAATTCTTCGATTAGTAGATTACTCATCCTTCACAAATACAAATGTGTCGTCTGCAAATGTTAAAGTGGTCCGTTTTAATATTGTAGGTCGAAAGGTTATCCGATGATTTGTTTTTTCTTTTTGCAAAACTAACAAAATTTTTCAACGAATATCACGAGTGGCCATACGAGAATACGCAACTGAGATTTAGTTTTATTATGGAATAATAGGATACCAACCCAAGATTAAGGACTTTTCCTTCATTTTCAACTCGACAGACATCGTGATAGATGAAATTAATTTTTCATTTGCCTCACGATTTTTCCGAAACAACGATTGAAAATCGAAACCTACATAAACGTTCACGGTACAAAATTCAGGGTACACCTGGATCCCTTTTTACACGGTAGATGCCGTACGAAAGGAATCGTGTAAAAATAGGACCGTATAAAATAAGCGACTGTGTCGAGACCCAATTAAAAATTTATCAAATATTTATAAAAAAAATCGTGCAAAACAAAAACGGTGTAAAAGGAAACTCAGGTATATTCAATGTCTCGCCCTAAACATCGATTTTTATTATCCGTCAATGTCGTGAGAACGATCAAAGGGCGTCGGTCATCGTTAAAAATATCCTCGCAACAGCTGACTGGCAAAACCGTCAGCGTTCAACCGGACGCTAATAAGAAACTATCTTTAGGGTCGATATTTTAAACCACCGTCCATATACGGTCGCGACTTGTTGTTCGATTTATCGGTACAGTCTGACGGCACATGATTTTTCCCACCGAAAATTCCTTCTCCCGGGCAAAAACAGCGGGAACACGGACCTCGGGCGTGGAGAACAATCGGCTGCCTAACGAGACGGAAAAATGGAATTCCGCGGCGACAACGAACCATGGCGGCCGGCCGACAATTACCGATTCGTATTAAACCCCGCGAGGCGTTTGAATTTATCCGGCCACGGTATCTCGCGCCTTAATAAGCCGTAAAGTATCGCGAAAAGTGTCTCTGGATCGCACGCGGACAGTAGCCTGCACACGCTTGGCTACGTAGAGAAGGAAACGAAAGAAAAAAAAGATCGTTGAATCACCATCTCTCTCGCTCTCTCTCCCTCTCTCTATAGTGCCGTTGCACGGTTGGTAAACGGCGGCGCGCTATCGGGCTCGTGTATCAGCCGCCGACAATTAACAATTATTGCGCGCACCTACTAGGCGAGCACACGTTGGATAAGTCACGTTGCTTGCGTAGAATTTATTATTACGACGGCCAGGCGTGTACAGCTCCGCCCAGATAGGGTGTCCTGTCGGCTGGGACGTCGATCGATATCGAACGATTCCACGGCGTCGAGCCAATCTCCCCTCGTAGATCCTTGAGTTTCATCTAGATTCTATTCAGATTATCGTCAGTCTCTATTTAGTCCGTTGCTTACGAAACGATGTTTCACCCAGCTATATCCTCCGAGCAATTTCAAGTTTTTTTTTTTTTTTTTTTTTTCATGTAATTTCATATGCAATTTCCGTGCTTGGATTTATTTCGCACCCGGTAGATTGGGAGGATGTTTAATCTCCTTTTTGCATTCTTTGAGGAGGATTCTAGGGTATACGGACGTGAGGCTCGTATCTGATGATTTACTTGGAAGGTTTTGGAAAAGAGTCGATGCAATTTCAAATATATTTAACCCGCTCACTCTCTTTGTCCACTAAACAGGACATCAATTTTATCAATATCAAAAACATGTTTCTGATATCAGTAATCCATTGATAAATTTGATAGTTTAGACAATAATAGTGAGCGAGTTAATTCGGTTTTTTGTATTCTTAATTATATTTCATTTCGTAACTTGTAGAATGTAGTCATATAGCTGCAGTAGAAACTAAAGGGTTAACGTGTTGAGAGCCTGTTTGAAAAAAAAATGATCTACAGTTCTCCAGTCCACTATAATTGAGCGATCCTATACACAGCTAGCGACCTGTATAAACAATCTGCAAGTCACTCGGTCCACGCATTGTATCTGCACGCACACGCGGGTTTCCAAAGTGAACAGACCAAATTCAGAACGTAATCAAGATCAGGATCTACTAATTTGTAACATTTCCATATCGCGCGTGTATCTTGAATATCCCAGCGGAAACATCGGTAAACACGTGGAACACAACGCATTTCCCCCGGTGTATATGTATATGTATGTATATATATAGAAATGACGTTGTTTTTTTCAAATGTTGCGCGTTGAACTATGCGCGCGCGCGGCGACCAACCGTAACACAATGAATAACCGGCGAACGGGAGTGAAGAAAAATGATATACACGTTGAAAATAACGTCACACACAAGAATATTGCAGGGATCGAAGGATACGGAGTCCTACTATAATATTATTACATTTGTCGCGAAAATAAAAATTTTTGTATTCTATTTAATCCTACAATACAGTATTCTCAAAGTTTCAAAGAGATTGGTTTAACCCTAGAACTACCAAGCAAGTCAAAATGACTTGCCAATACACTCTTACAACGATGATTAAAATGTTATAACAATTATTTTATTCCGATACGACGTTAAAAAAATTAGTTAATTTATAAATTCGTAAATTTTCAAAAGTTTGCCATATTTATCTATCGATCGAAAAAGATATGCGTTTATCGTTGGTAGTTCTAGTGTGAATAATTTCTTCACAAGAAATTCCGAAAAATTAATTCATGTTTCGCCCGTTTACACCAGGCGCCCCCCCCCTTAAACGGAGCGGTGGAACAGTCACCGCGCGCACACCTTGCCACTCCGTTGCAATAAATAAAAATCAGCTGCAATTAATCGGTTGCAAGATATGCACGTCGCTGAGACCTTGGGGACCTCGAAAACAAGCGTGTCTCTTGTCACTGCCACTCCCCCCACCCCCTCTTCTCTTACCTGTAGACTTTTTCGGCTTATTTTTCGCTCTCTCGATTATTATAAATCGGATGTTTGTGGTGCCCGATCTGCGCAGAAACCTCTACCGGGGGCGGGGTGCCGCGATCTTTTCCTTTTTTTTTGGGCATCTCCATACCCCAGAACGTTTCTCCGTCTTTTCGGAGACGAGAATAGAACCGAGTAGTGTGTGTCGGATTCGAGGAATCAACCGGAGGAACGGGAGAACGGTGGACCCGTGTGTTTGTTGTCTCCTCGCAAAATTTTGCTCGCTTCCTTTCACTTCGGCGCGATCGAAGACGGTGGTTTTATAAAGGGGAAGACAAGGAGAGAGGTGTTCGGAGTCGCGGACGGAGAAGAAAGTGTCGTTTTTGTTGTCGTAGAACCGCGGAATACGGGGAGAATTTTTTTTTTCTAAACATTGGGTACCAGATCGTAAACGTGTGCATAAAACGTGTGTAGAAATTTGCACGATCTGAATTCTAAGAGACGGAAGAGTAAAAAGGATAGATGTTCGAGTCGCTAACTGCAGGAAGAGGATATCCCCATTTTTCTAAGGAATTCGCTTTTTAGCCGAGTACCACGTTTGTAGAATGAATACACAATTTACTGCAGAAAAGGGTTAATATATACTGTATCTAGTGAGCTGTGGATATAAAGGATTTTTTTTTTGTATTTAAAGAATTTTGTCCTCTGCAGATTACAAGATTTTAACATGTCGAGACATAAGCATTGTTGTCCTCGGGTCTATATGACTCGAAATGAAGATTATATTTTAATAGATATTATGTTTTTAGTATC